ATTTCCACAATGATCACTCTTTCCTGTCCTCGGCAGTGCTTGCTCTGAATATAGATTTGAAGTGGCTTCTGAATTAGAATCGCCGTTCCTGATGCTACACGTATAATTACTCAAACAGCATGAAGTTAGCAAACATTTCTCCACTCCTTCTATATTTGCATTTATTTTTACTATTTTTTTTGATGTAGAAAATTGTTTGAAAATGATTTATGGTATGAAGAGGATCTTGAGGCTCCAAATGATTAGATTTTGTGTTATCATCCGTGTCTACTTTTACTGACTTTAATCAGAGAACGCCTTGTCAGAATCGATTCCAAGGACTATATCCGGAGTTGTTTGAAAGTCTAATACTAGGGTCGGAGAGGTGGCTCAGCAGTGAAAAATACCGGCCTGCCTTTCCAGAGGGTCTGGGTTCAATTTCCAGCACCCACATGATAGCTCACAACTGTCTAACTCCAGTTCCCTGGGATCTGAAACCCTTACACAGATACAATAATAATAAACAACCCCCCCTCAAAAACAAACAAACAAACAAAAAAACAGACAAGAAAGCAATCAAGAAAGGAAAGAAAATCCAATACCAAGCAAGGATCAGACTCTTGATAAAGGCGGTGTGATTTCTGCTCAGACTTGAGAGATTTTGCATCTCAGAAGATACTTGCTAGTGACATAACTGCCCTACATATGTACGACAGCCTTTAAAACCTTCCTGTACTTACACCAGAGCAAGCCTGATTGTGTAGGTCACAGGAACGTTTAATTGTACTATATATTTAGATTCACATGACCTAATTTAACTTATTGTGTTAATTTTTCCCTTTGATGCATAAGCTCAAAATTTATTTCTAAATTATGTTAAAACTGAATGGTTTTCTAAGAGTCATATTTATTTTCTTTTTCCTTTTTGCTTTTCTCTGCAAAGAAAGGCTTGTTAGGCATTTTAGAAGATAACTTAAAAGTATAATGTGGGTTCTTGAGAGGACAGAATGGTTAAAAAAAAAACTTAATCAATGGATATTTATGAAGTGAGGGAGAGGCAGATCCCCTGAGAGACGTCTTCACAATGTGGTGAGGATGAGGTGAAGGTATGTGGACAAGACTCTCAGTCATGAGGCACTGAGGAAGGGGTCCTGGAGCAGCTGATACCTACGCTGTTGTCTGAGTCACTGTTCCTTTGCTACAAAGGGACACCATGACTAAGACAACTCTTATAAAAGAAAGCATCTAATTGGAGGCTTGTTTACGTCTCAGAGGTCTAGTTAATATCAGCGTGGCCGGAGCTTAGGTGGCAGGCGTGGTACTGGAGTAGCAGCTGAGAACCATATCATGATTTGCAGGCAGAGAGAAACGGTGGGTTGGGGGGAGTCATCTTTTGGAAATCTCAAAGCCCTCCCCCCAGTGACACGCTCACCCAACAAGGCCACGCCTCCTAATCCTTCTAATCCTTTCAGGGAGCTCCCCCCCCCTCCACCCCGCATCCAGATTATGAGCCTATGGGGCATTCTCATTCATGCCAGCCCTGCTATCTTCCAAGGCGAGTGGTCAGGTGAAAGTATAGAGCAGAGAACCCAGAAATATACAGAGGTCCGCAGACAGATGCTCCTGGTCCTCTCAATTTCTCAGCGAGCTCCTTTGTCACTAGCGGAAGGTACACGGCCCAGTCCCATCAGGATCAAATATAACGTTTCTATCATCTATCTAAAATGATGATCACAAACCTCCTGGAGTAGTTTCTTATAGCTGCTGTAAGCACCACCTACTGAGTGATTTAAACAATGCAAATGTATGACCCCAAAGTTCTAGAGGCTAGACTTCTAAGATCTAGGTATTGTCAGGTTGGCTCCTTCTGAGAACTGTAAGGGAGAACCTGTCTTCTACCTACTGGTGACAAGCCGGTACTCACTGGTGTCACTCAGCTGCAAATGCCTCACTGTGACCTCTGTCGCCAAAAGCATCTGTATTTTGTCTTTATCCATGTTCTCCCTTTTTATAAAGAAATCGGTCTTTATGGATTTGAAAGTCCCACTACTCTAGTATGAACTCATTTGTGGTTGAGACCGAGTCCATATAGCCCAAGATTGTCACGAAGTTGCTGTTTTGAGGGCCGGGCGGTGGCGCACGCTTTTAAAATCCCAGCACTCGGGAGGCAGAGGCAGGCGGACCTCTGTGAGTTCGAGGCCAGCCTGGTCTACAAGAGCTAGTGCCAGGACAGGCTCCAAAGCTACAGAGAAACCCTGTCTCGAAAAACTTAAAGAAAAAAAAAAAAAGAAGAAGTTGCTGTTTGGTCCACATGAACTCCTGATCCTCCTGCCGTATGAGCCTATAGCAGCAAGCCTAATAAAAAGAGAATTACAGGCAAGGTTGGTGGTGGTGCACGCCTTTTAACCCAGCACCCAGGAGAAAGAGGTGATCTCTGTGAGTTCAAGGCCAATAGAGTGAGTTCCAGGACAGCCAGAGTGATTACACGGAGAAACAGTGGGTTACACAAAGAAACCCTGTCTTGAAAAAACATGAGAGAGAGAGAGAGAGAGAGAGAGAGAGAGAGAGAGAGAGAGAGAGAGAGAGATATTACTGTTATTGACAGAATTTCCAACTTTTCAACTGAAACTGCTTCAGCCATGTTTTAATTTAAACCAGAGAGAGTAAAGAATTAAGGGAAACCCTCACTACTATAAATAAATACACTAATTAAAAATATAGGAAGAAAGCCAGGCGGTGGTGGTGCACACCTTTAATCCCAGCACTAGGGAGATAGAGGCAGGTGTATCTCTGTGAGTTCGAGGCCAGCCTGGGCTACAAGAGCTAGTTCCAGGACAGGCTCCAAAGCTACAGAGAAACCCTATCAAAAAAAAAAAAAACCCCGAAAAAATAAAATAAAAATAAAAACTAGAAGCATAAATGAGCAAACTCTATTAGGTATATGGATATTCCCAGTAGAATGTCTAACTCTTATAATCCTTACGAATTTCTCTTTCTGAGTTCTACACAGCTGTTTTATTTATCCTACTGACCTTCTTTATATTTTAAAATTAGCATACAATGCAATAGCTTTCATTAGGACACTTTCACAACTAATTCGTTTCTGTTGTTCCCTCCAGGCCTTTACCCTTTGACCCCTGGCAGTCCCCTTTCTGCTTTCATGCCACACATTTTATTTCTCTTCACCTCGTCCACACAACCTCAATTTGGTTCCCCTTTTACTTCCATGCTACTATGGTCAAATCTTAGTGGAAAAAGAAATCCCGGCAGCTTAGTCGCTAGAGTGCTTGTTTTCCCCCCTGGTAGTACCTACACTGAGTGTGACCACAGTGCTGGGAATCTTAATCCTAGTTCTAGGGAGGTAGAGGCAATTGGTTCGGAAGTTCAAGGTCATCTTTGGCTACGAGGTGGATCTGGCGCCGGCCTGGGTGGGATGCACACCACCTTATCACAGAAAATAAAATAGAAATATTCCTCAAGAACCTCTGTCTCTCTGCTTTTACACAGAATATGCCCATGTGCTCAGTTTCATCATAATAGCAGACGTCGTGGAGCGTTCAGACCTTAATAAACAGTTCCTCAGTAAATGTCTTAGTTGAGCGATTGTTTCACAGGTCTTTCCCAAAAGATACCTTGTAGAGAGTACATTCTAAATTAAAATAAGCTCGGCTCAGCTGCGATCAAGTGGGCTGATCTTTGCGGTGTTGAACAATTCTAAACAAATGGGGACAGCGAATTATTGCCCCAACCCACTATAAAGCGGCTACAGATGTGGATTTCTGAGTAATCGGCAGACATCAGCGTGCTTTAGACAAAGTTAACATTTATAATCATTTGATGATAGTCAGGTAACATTGTAGCGCTAGCATCCACAGGCAGAAGATGGAAAGCATCGACAGAAATAACTTCATCAATGCTGCATTTGGTTCTTATTTTAGATATTGGATTAAATATATACATTTCAGAAACATTTCCCCCTTTGCTGACAAACGGGTCCTGCTCTCTAGGTACTGTTTGCCTTTCCGCAGACCCCGCCCCACCTTCCAAACTCAGCTAATTGCTGGTGTCAAGTGATTTTTGCTCAGAGTAAAATAATTTACTCTGTGCTTCGTTCAAATGTTACTCATTTTCAGCTTTGTAGAATTCAATAAGCACAAACAAGTAGCTATCTGGGGAATGCAAGGCACAGCCTTCAAAGATCCTGTAATCTATTTTTACTGTTGTTCTGTCTCCTGGTCCCAAATTGGCGTTTTCATTATTTCCTATTCTCTCTATGTGACAGATTTGGCTTTGGGCGCTTTTGATAGCAAAACTAATCTCTCTCGGGCTATTAAATTAGCTGTTTGCTATTTCCCGTTTAAGTTACTATGCCGAGTCTTAACTGGACCTCTAAGTTGCTTAGCTTGCTTTTTCTAGGGGGTTCGTTTCCTCTTTTCCACTGTCTCAGAGACTCCTTTTTCTCTTCCTTACATCTTTTTACGCTTACTTATGAGGGGGTATTTAAATTTCAACCCGGAACTCGGGGCCGCGCGCCTTGAATGACGGGAGTCGTAGTTTCTGTGACTTCTGAGTAACCGTCTTTCAGGCGGATTCCAGCCCGGAGCGAAACCCCACAAATCCCAGAGTGCACTCGGGTGGGCCCGCCCCGGCCCGCTCCGGCCCGCCCCTCCTGCGCAGGCGCCCTGGAGCCGCAGGATTTGAATCGGCGGCGTTGTTATTGACGCCATATTGGGGCCGGCGGCGGGTGGCAGAGTTGGGTGCGTGGAGAAGGAGAGGGTCGAGTGCGTTGCCTAGCGCTGTGCGGGGCAGCCACCTCCCAGCCGCCTTGCGTCGCCGCCGCTCGCCAGCTTCCGTCGGCCACGGCGCGTGGGAGATCGCGTTTCGGTCGCGCCCCTGGCCCGGTCCACTTCCGAAGGGAGCCGGTCTCGGCGCTGCAGCCTCGGCGCGCTCCAGCCCGAGCGAGCGAGCGCACGGCGGGGGTGGCCCGGCCTCTCGGGAGCGGCCCCGAGCCGGCGGCGCGAGCCTCGCGCCTCGCCCACCTGCCCTGCCGCGGCCCAGCCGTCCCGGGCCCCACACCCACCGGGCGCATCCGAGGGCCCTCCTGCCCCCGTCCTTCCCGGCCCCGCCCGAGCCGGGCCTCGGCTGCCCGCCGCCATGGCGTGCGGAGCCACTCTGAAAAGGACTCTGGATTTCGATCCTCTGCTGAGCCCCGCGTCTCCGAAGCGGAGGCGATGCGCGCCTTTGTCGGCCCCGGCGTCGGCTACCGCCTCCCCTACGGCCGCCACCGCCGCCGCCGCCGCCTCGGCCGCCGCCGCCTCGCCGCAGAAGTATCTCCGGATGGAGCCTTCCCCGTTCGGCGACGTCTCCTCCCGCCTCACCACAGGTGGGCCTCGGCCCCGGGGCCGCCGGGGTGGGCTGCGACCGGGCGCCTGGGGTGCGGACACAAAGGGAAAGGGCCTGAACCAAGGTGGGGGCGGTGTCGGCAGGTTGGGTGGGTACGGGCCGTGCTGGCCGGCATTACGGGGTAGCTAGCTCATTGTGAGGAAGATCATTTGGGGGCAGGGTCACTGGGATTGTGTCCTTCTGTAGAGACCCGGCGGAAATGATCAGAGAGGATATTATTTATAAGTCCGGCGAGAGAAGGGTCACATTTCACCCGAATCTCCCGGTCTCTTGGACTGAATCGATTGGTTGCAGCTATTAACACAGTGACTGAGTGGTTTGAGGCGAGAAGGCAGCCCCTCCTCCATTTTAGACTTGGCTGGTTTTAGTATAGAAGGGGTGGGGCTTGGAGGGGGATGGATGTCACTGGGGCGAGTTGTAGGCCTGTCATTAATCACCCACAAGAACGCCACTTTGGCTGAGTCAAGACCTGTTTCCCTAGCAGGGTCAACGACAAAGCAAATGTTCTTCCCGAGTACTGTAATGTGATCTCGCTATGCGTCTAGTCCTTAAGAAATCCGAACTTTTAATGAGAAGAACTTGTCCTTTAAATTGGGACTGACTTAATTTATTTGTAAACGCTTTAGTTATCCCAACGAAAACCATCCTAGCCTCGAGAGTAACGAATACCTCAAGATTCCAGTGGACTTCCGACTTGAAGTCTTGAAACATTCGGAAAGTGACTGCCGGGTGTACCTTCGGTTGCTTTTGTACATGATGCGTGTACCTAGGGATCTTTCCCCCCGTGCAAGTCTTAGGGCAGACTGTTGTGGACTTGAAGTCTAAATCTATTTCCTTTGTGTGTGGTATGCAAAGGTCTGTGAGTGCGAGAGAGAGAGAGAGAGAGAGAGAGAGAGAGAGAGAGAGAGAGAGAGAGAGAGAGAGAGAGACTTGCTGATCTCATCCTTAGAGCTTTGATTAGCTCAATTGAATTTTCCCCCCCAGAACCTCATTTTAAAAAAGACGGGAATTATATAATTCTGTATCTGGTAACTTCCATATACAACTAACTGTACCAAGTGGGTTTTTTCTTACTGTCACATTTAAATAGCCATACCCAAATCCATGGTGAGACCTCAGTTACCTATTCTTGCTATTAAATATTTGCTCTAACTTAGGGCAATACTGTTTTAAGAGTTGCAGTCAATTTTCATAGGAATGCCAAGAATTTTATTTAATGATTGTACCTAAACTGGTCCCCTCCCCCTTATATATGTATAAAGGCATTCTTGACGGATATGTTTTAATGAGTGGTTCTCAACATGTGGGTTGCGACCCTAGGTGGCATATCAAATATTTACATAACGATTCACAACAGTAGCAAACTTACAGTTATGAAATAGCAACGAAATAATTTTATGGTTGGGTCATCACAACGTGAAGAACTGTATTAAAGGGTCACAGCATTAGGAAGGTTGAGAACCACTAGTTTAGACGTTACAGAAAAAGCGAGAACAAAGTGAAGAATGAATTCTTTGGGGCAGACATTTTTAGTTGTGTTTAATGAAATGTTATCTTTGAGCATTGAAATGGTGCCTTAACTACTAATGAGGTCTTTTCAAAGTAGCTGTAACCAGCAATAAATTTCATTAAAGTAGTGTTAGGTTTGTGAGTTACTGTATATCCCTATGCAATTAAAATAATCTTGAACACATATATGAAACACCAGGGAACTATACACCTTCCTTTACTTAGAGGAGCTTGTTCAGAAATAATAGTGATCTTTCAAATTTGTCATGTCATTGCTCTCTTTGGAGCAGAGGTTAATATACTTCGTGTAATCTCACATTTCAATTAGGTAAAATACAATAGTAAAATGATTAGAATTATTGCTAGTCTTTAAGCCAGCTGATAGTTTGATCCTATCTTGAAACCTAAAATCACATCCTAATTAATGTTTATAGTTGGCTAAATAGTAAGTGGGTATTTTTAATTAATTTGAATATTGATGTAGAAAATTGACTTCCTGAAAAATGAGGGAAGATTGCTGAAAGTTTAAATTTGCTAAAATGTACATATTTACTTTAATTTTTAATGATACTGTAAATGTATGGTTGAACTTTTTTGGGTTACAACTAAAGATCTGGAAGTTTATACAGTGCTTATACCATATGCAGTTTTGTCTTTCTCATTGCTCTCTTTTAGACCTCACGGTCACTTCTGATGGTGATGTTGAGACTTTGATGGGGCTTATTAGCAGCTTCAGGAACTTGGGCACTGGTTTAAACCCTGACTGTTATTTTAGACATTCCAAGGTGATTCCAAACTTTGATTTGATGACTGCTTTTGTTTAAGTCAATATTTTTCAAACTTGCAACTTAATACTAGAGAAAAGGGCTAGTTGAAGGAGTCTAGCTTATTTTCTTACCTTCAAGACTTGAAACTGTTACTCTGTTCATTAACAGTGGTTTCAGTTCTTGCCCCCTTTTACACATATCTCAAACATGATTTTTGGTGTGCCTGACTTACTGATTCAGAACTGCTTTAGGTAGGTTTGACAAACTATGGCCATCTGTTTGTACAGACTGGGAGGCAAGGCTTTTTTTAAAATAACATTTTAAAATGGCTGAAAAAGAATAAAAATGATTATTTTATGACATTGAAAAATCAAAAGAATTTAAATGTCAGTGCCATGAAAAACAGTTGGGATCCAGTTATGCCTGTCCGCCTTTAAAAGGTTGAAAGTCCATTACAGATTATCTTAGTAAGGTTGTGGAGAGAGTATTTTGCCCCGGAATTCATATTTATTTTCTGATCTTTTATTCCCTACCCCCAACCCCCAAAAAAGTTTGTACATACTCTGGCCTAGGATTATAATTCAGTGATTGATGTCTAAAATACTTAGTGTGCAAAAGGATAGTAGATTGGTTTGGAGACAGAGAAAAGCATTTAAATGAAGATGGGGAAATGAGTGTATCAAATACTTATCCTGGGAAGTTGGTGGAAAAGGAAGGAGGGAGGGAGAGAGAGATTGAAATGTTCTTATCATGCAGGTCTAGCTAGCCTGGAACTCAGCTCTCCCTCCCAAATGCTGGGATTAGAGGGTGGGTGCGCCCTACCATGCCTTACATAAGATTTTAAGGATGTATTTTTTCCCCTAGTACTTTGAGAATTTAATGCATACATACATGAAGTGTATTTTGATCAAACACCTAACTCTTCCTCAGATCCACCCCACCCCCATTCCCTGCTTCCCAATTTCATGTTCTCTCCCCCGCCTCTTAAAATAGCCTATCAAGTCCCAATTTGTTTTGCTTATAAATTTGGGGTTATCAGCCGGGCGGTAGTGGCGCACGCCTTTAATCCCAGCACTCAGGAGGCAGAGGCAGGCGGATCTCTGTGAGTTCGAGACCAGCCTGGTCTACAAGAGCTAGTTCCAGAACAGGAACCAAAAGCTACAGAGAAACCCTGAAAATCAAAAAAAAAAAAAAAAATTGGGGTTATCCATTGGAGCATGATTGATCTACTAAGAGCTTAAAGAAAATTGACTGTTTGTAGACCAAATACCATCAGCTGTTAACAGGTCCTTAGCTACGGGTGGAGTCTTGTGCTTAAGTGTTGACTGGCTTATCTTTTATGCAGGTCTTGAACCTGTGATAACGATTGCTGTATTCATTCCTGTCATGTCCAAAAGACACTAATTCTGGTCTTCCCTGACATCTGGCCCTTACTTTATTTGCTGCCTGTTCCATGATTGTTCTGAGTATTGGTGGGAAGAGATATGATATGGATCCTTTCTTAATAACTGAGCTCTGCACTTTGACCAGTTGTAAGTTTCTGTGTTAACTGTGAATAGTATACAAGAAAAATTCTCTGAGGTCTGAGAGCTACATTAATCTATAGGTACAGAGATACAATTTATAGGGCAGTTTGTTGTTACCATGGCCATTTAACAAAATAATAGTATTAGGCTAGAGCAGTTTTGGGTTTTTGGCCAGGTTTACAGTGTCAAACATGTGTTTCTGCCTTGGAGCAGGTGGAAATCATAAACGCAGTCAGATAGCAGGGCATTTCCCCCGTGACGTTCATGCCACTGTTTTACTCATGAACTTGTCATGCCAGACATGAGTTTTGTAGCTCAGAGTTGACAGCTGGGTGATGCTGTTGGGATGACTTTTCTTTCATTGTAGCCTGCAAAACACCTGCTGTGGAAGCTAGCTCACAGGGAGGAGCTTCTGGGCCAGTACCAGCTTGCTCCATATCCAGTGACCAGGGTGTGTGGTCCTCAGCAAGAGTCTTAACCATCAAGTTCTGGAGGGCAGCTAATAACATTGACAGTAGTCTTGGAGAGATCTCTGGACACCTGGTCAACACTGTAAGGAGCTGTGTTTCATACCAGTACTGGACTTTTATTTGGCAGTCTAAGTTTTTTTTTTAATATCTATATTATTGTGTAACCAAAAGATTGGTAAGGCATTCCTAAGAAAGGAGTTGTTTTTACTTTTTATAATTTTATTTTATTTTTATTTTGTATTTTGAGACTGGGTTTTTCTGTGTAGCAGCTCAGGCTGTCCTGGAACCTTTTTTGTAGATCAGGCTGGTTTTGAATCACAGAGATCTGTCTGCCTCTGCTGGGATTAAAGGTGTGCACCCCCACTGCCCCATGAAAGGAATTGTTTTAATAAAACCGTAGACTGTCAGTCCTATCAGTCAAATCTAACACGTTGTTTTTGTAATTATACTATGAATCAGTGGTCTGATGAATGACCTGTGGATGTTGACTCTGAGTTGGCTAGTTAACTTTAATGTGTACATTGTTTGTAGTTTGTTTTAGGAACTGAGTTGGATGAAAAGTTAAATTCCATTGTAAGAACTCATTGTATTTGTTGGAAGCTTTCCATTAAAAAATGGAAACTACGGCTTGTGAATGGGGAATAGATTGTTCACTAGACATTGATACATGCCTCCAAATGGAGACACCAGCTGGCTTAAAGAAAATAT